CGTCACCGTGTGTGTATAAGTTTAGCTTTGCATAAAAACATTAATATGAACTAAACAACCTTATTTTAATAAGGATATAATTTTTTTTTTCGCTAGATCAATTATCACAAAAGTAAAATATTATCTTCCTTCACGATTCTATATTAAACATTCATTTTTAACAAGTTGCATTGTACCTTCAGTATAATTTATTTAAAATTATTAAAAAAATGCAATGAAGTCAGACTAATCCATTTAATATCACAAAGCTTCTCATCACCCATGAAAAGGAAATTCTTTTTCGCCATTTCTTTTATAAAGTTTGACTTCCCCACCTAAATTTGTTGGTAACACAATGTATGTACCTTTTTTAAGAGAATAAAGACAAATTAACACTTATCAAGAAATTTTAATCTCTAAAAGTGAAGCTTCTTCGTCCATTATTCTCAACAGAAAATAAAAAATGAAAAGAAAAACCCTGCATCTCCGAAAACAATTTAATATTATATATCCTGAAAATCTAGAGTGCAGCTTACTAATTGTAATGGTGATTTTATTTTATTGTATTGGTTTCTTTTGGTGGACCTAAAATTTTATGATTTTTTTAAAGATTCTTATTAATAATTAACTAGTATTATAACATATGTGTATTACTGACTAATTTTTTATTATATATAATTAAAATTTATAATAAATTATATATAAAATAAATATTATATTTGAATACAATAATCATATTTAATTTAAAATTTGTTTAAATAGTTATTTTTAAACATGTAAATTAAATTTATATTTAAACAAATATTTTATATCATAATACAAGATTATTTTTAATTATTTATAATTTATTTTTAAAATATTAAAATTTAATTATAATTAAATATGATAAAAAAAATTGAATTAAATAAAATATTAAAATGATTCTTAAAAATATTTCCATTAAAAAGTAGTCCCTAAAACTATTCTCTCTTGAGATAATAATTCTTATTTAATATATAGAGATGAATCCAATTAAAGAGCTAGTCACACAACATTATTACTTTAGCTTTTAAGAAAGACCTTGTAACTGACTAGTTTACATATATTGCACGAAAAGAAAAATATTTTTCCAAAATAAAACAACTTGCAATCTTACACATTAAAAGAAAACAAGAGATTCTATTTGTAAATCGTAGCTAAATTATTATTATTTTTATAGTATATTTGGTTAGTCGCGCCTATAAATTTATCTAACTAAAACAAATTATTATTTAATATACGAACTAAATTTTTTAAGTATTTTTTATCTTATTTTCATAAGTTACTTTAATTATCTTATAAAAATAACTTAATTTATAAGGTATTAGTTTTTATATATATTTTTGTATGAATTAATTTACTTGATTTTTTAAAACAAATAAATACATTATTTAACATTTAGTAACTAATTTATTAGTTAATATTGTCAAATACTTTCTATCCAATCAACTAACTTAAAGTTTTAGTTTTACAATTCTTAATTATAACTTATGAGTTTCAACTAACTTATAAACTTTTATTTAATTTTTACACTAGTTATGCAACAGTTATATATATATATAACTATTGCATAAAAATTTAGTATAAATATTTGAGATTGAATGTGTTTCTCTGGACTAAAAAAATGCTACTAATTATATAACTAGATTCTAAATATTAATGATATTAGTTTAGTTTTGAACACAGCATATCTCAAATTTTCATTACTGCAGAATTACAGAAAATTAACGAACTCGATTAACATTATAAAGGAACCGAACTCAATAATAACCATCTTTCTAATTATTTTTTATATATAGGAATTGAACTTGTTATCTAAGAAATTTATGCTAAAGTAATAGAGTCTTATATTTTAACTTGGATAATCTAGCTCAAAAAGACATTAAACGTAGTAGCAAAATTTACTCCGGTTAGAGCAAGTGGGAGGAAGCTAGTAAACGTTTTTTTTTCTTTGTTTATAGTAATTGATGAGCTGACATGGACCGAACTGAAAGTCAATTAGCCCTAGTTAGCTAAATATACGTACGAAGAGCAAAAGCTTACAAACCCTTTGCCTCTCCTCTTCTACCATACGACGCTCGACGGACACAGCTTCGGTACGGGAAACAATTTAGGGACACACGGGGAAACTCGTCAATAATTTATAATATTGATAATAAAAATACTAAAATATTGTTCTACTTATCTATTATTAATTTATTTTTAAAATAAATTAATCATCACATAAATAAAACTTATTTGTTTTAATTTTCATGATATCCATTGTCACATATATTACATCATTTATCATTTTTTTTATTGCTTCTCTCATTCTTTCTCTATTTCACACAATCATCAATTCACCAAAAAGAAATAAATAAGACAGTCATCATTGAGTCTCAATTTAATTGATGTAAGCAACGTACTTCATTTCCAAATGTTTTAATAGTTATTCCGTTATTGAAGATTTTCATATTTTATATAAATATAACAATTAAAACAAAAATGACTTTATAATAAACTTAATATATTTTTTAAAAAAGTATATACATCGACGATGTAAATTATTTTTACATTGTTATTTAACAAGTATTGATTTTTATAATCTAAATAAATAATTAACATTAAGTATTAAGGACTATAATTAAATAGTTATATTAGAAAATGTTAGTAATATAAATTGTTAAAAAAAATTTCTATGTCAAAAAAAAAATCGCAAAATTTTAGAACCAATTTCTTATTTCATAAATTTCACATGTGATTTTGGTAAATTTTAAGTTAAATTACATTTTTAGTTCTTTTATTTTTGTTGATCCATAATTTTGATCATTCTATTTTAAACTAGAGATATTTAGTCTCCTTATTTTTTTAAATACAAAATTCTGGTCCTTCCATCAATTTGATTTTCATATAACGTTATCGACTGATCTGTCACCACTTAAGTAATATGTAATGCAATGTATAAGGATAAAAATTAAAAATAAAAAAAAATTTGTATGTATTTATTTTTATGAATAATTGATATTTATTTTATTAATAAAAATTTTATTTATATGTCTTTTTTAGTTTTTTATTTCTAATATGCTAATAAATATTATATTATTTAAGTATGACTAAACGTTAAAACTTAATAATTAATAAATGTTATTTTGATGGGGACCAAAATTCTGTATTTTTTAAATTAAAGGACTAAATATTTTTATTTTAAATTAAAGAGACCAAAGTTTTAAATTGATAAAAATAGAAGAATCAAAAATATAATTTAACCCAAATTTTAATAAAATATTAAAAATAGTAGGTTAAAAAAACGATGATAGCACTTTTCATAGTATTCACTTATTAAAAAAAGAAGATATTTTACACGATATTTTTACATTGGTTATAACAATTAAAGTAATGCAGTGTTATTTTTACAATTTAAAACAACTTTTTTAGTTCTAAATTAATCGATGTATAGAATATATATTTTTTCATCGGTTTCACAGAATAACTTACGCGAAAAAAACTCTCTCTACACCAGTTTCAGTTATGTAAAAAGAAGTTTTATATGTCAATTCAAATCAGGATAAATGTAATGTCTTCAAAAAATTTCTCCATAATTTATTTTTGCATTTGTGCTCTAAAAAATTTCATTTATACATCCTCGCGCGAACCCAATATTTTTATTACTGTTATGATTTTAGCGTCAACATACTCTATTGATAGCATGGTTAAATTGTTCTGCTAAGACTCGTTCGAGAGAGCAACCCACAACGGAGGGAATTGAAGCCACTAGTCTCCTATAATGTTAAAAATTTAACATTAACTTATCACATGTTATCATGCAAGTAAAGTGATTTATTGACGAAATACAAAAATAAAAAATAATATAAAAAATACAAATATAGATGACAATAATATTCATTTTCCCTCTTTTTTCTTGATTATATAGTTTATTATATTAGTCTCTTTTTTTTTTATGTTTCTATAAATAAAAAATTAATCTCTATCCCACTTTTTTTTTTCTTTCCCTCTTCTTTTTAACTTTGCTAAGTTACATTTACCCATTTCTTAATATACAGAGTATACTGCAAAAAGATTATAAGGTGTTATTTTTATCTCAAACACACATATGGATAACCTCAAAAACTAAAAAAAAAAATCGTCAGATAAAATTTTCATGAGATGTGTGATGACATTAATCTTAAGAATTTGTCTATAATATGTGTGTAAGCCTTCCATGATACAATAGAGTCATCTAAAAAATATTAAGGAGCAAAACAAACAAAAAAATTTAATTTTAATAGATAACCTGATCGAAATGAGAAGGAAAGGACTGAAATTTTTTCAAACATGTAAAACAAAGAAAATGGAGACCTTTATTTATTGAATTAGGGAGTAAACTTATCTAAAAACAACTTAATTTTAGTAGATAATTCAAAAGAGAGAAAAGAGAAGTGAAGTATTTTTGGACGTATAAAATAGTAAGACTAAAATATTTATTTATAGAGTTAGGAAATATATTTATCCAAAAATGACAATTAAAAAATAAAACATTTGATTCAGATAAGGTCCGTTTCAATTAAATAAAATAATTTAAAATAATAAAAATAAAAATACTTTAAGATACCACTTCCGCACATACAAGATAGACAAATCAACAAACCCTTACCCATGATGTGAATCCGATACTCATTGTTTTTTTTTTTTAAAATGTAAAATATTTAAATATATAAAAACTGATGAAACAATATAAGAAATATAAATGTCACACACATATGCAACATGAGGTGGGTAATCGCTTGTAACTGGTATAAATAACAATTTGGATTCTCTCATGTAATTTTTTTTACAATATTAATAGTCATTAGATATATTTAATAGTTCAAATTTAATTATTTAAAAAGTTTCATTAATTATAAAATTAAATTTGAGCCATTAAATATATTTAATAGTTATTAATGTTATAAGAAAGAGGCTGAAGAGAGAAAATTAGGTTGTAGGATCCGAATTCTATAAATAGGATAGAGGGTCATTCACTTGCCATAGCATAGATTCATAAACTCGGGTCTGAAATCCTTCTTTTCTTCCCCCGCAATCGCAAACATTATACTTTGCTCCCACTTTCTTCTCAGTCCAACTTCCTTTCCTTCAAGTCCTCCTTAATTATTACACCAACAACTCATATTCTAAAAAAAAAAATCATCATACCGCAACCTCCTCTTCTCTAATTAATTATTTCGACTCGGATCTCCCCGTTGTGTGTGTGCGCCAAGCTATAGCTACTTTCCGACCGTGTTTCACTTAATTTCGAGGTTCGTCCGCTGCATGTCAGTCAATAAATCCATGGAATTCATTCTAAATTTTTAATATTAACTTGTCTATGCGCGCATGCCATGGAGTAATTTACATGTACATGGACAAAAAACATATAGTAGATATGCTTGTCCCCTGCTTCAAAACCTATTGAATTAAACCAAATTAAAATTTCTGCCATTTCATGTATTGTACATGCCATTGCTTGCAGATTAAACTCATTGTCTTGTTTAAATATTTTTTTAGTCTGTGGCTAGATTCTTTCCAGTTTTCCATCTGTGATTGGGTGCAAGAAAATTAAAATAATCCGGTTATGAGCTGGTTTTGCTAGTGCAAAATAGAACAAGAGTGATTAAAAAAGGTTTGGTCAACTTGGCAGGTTAAGAGGTAGAAGAAGAAGAAGAAGAAGAAAAAATGATGAAGCTGATGTTTTCGGTATCAGCGTTGTGCAAGCCGGTGCCAATGGAGCCCCTATCCCTATTCGGGCAGCGGAGGAAGGAGAAGGTGGTGGTGATCATGGGCGCAACGGGAACGGGGAAGTCAAAGCTGGCCATTGACCTGGCCACGCAGTTCCCACCGGCGGAGATAGTGAACTCGGACAAAATGCAAGTGTACCAAGGTTTGGACATAACGACGAACAAGGTAATGAACGAAGAGTGCCGAGGGGTCCCACATCATCTGCTAGGCACGGTCCCTCCGAACATGAATTTCAGCGCCAAGGAGTTCTGCGACCACGCCAGCCTCGCCGTTGGCTCCATCTTGGGAAGGGACGCGTTACCCATCATAGCGGGTGGGTCCAACTCGTTCCTGGACGCCTTGGTGAACCACCACCCAGAGTTTCGGTTGCGGTACCAGTGTTTGTTCCTCTGGGTCCACGTCTCCCTCCCCGTCCTCCACTCCTCCCTCCAAACACGTGTCGACCGCATGATCCACGCCGGCCAGCTCCACGAGGTTCGACACGTTTTCCAACGCAACGACCGCGACTACACGCGCGGGATAAGAAGGGCCATTGGCGTCCCCGAGTTTCATCGTTTCTTTGAGGCCGAGGCTGACGGCGCCGACGAGAGGACCAAGAAGATGCTTCTGGAGGCTGCCATTAATGACATCAAAGCCAACAACTGCAACCTCGCCAACCGACAGGTCGACAAGATTCTGCGCCTCTACGGGATGTGGAAACGGAACATGCACCGCCTCGACGCCACCGAGGTTTTCCTCAAGTCCTCTCGCCAGGAGGCCGACCAGGCCTGGCAGGATCACGTCCTCTCCAAGTCCCGAAGGATTCTCCACAACTTTCTCTACGAGGACACGCATCTTCCCGCCGGGATTTCCTCCGTTATCGCCTCTTCTCCGCCGGCTATGGCCGCCGCCACCGCCGCCGCAACTCACTAGATACATATATATAGCCACAGAGAATCTAATTAATATAGAGAAACAATCGCCGCCACTGACATATGCTTTTTCACATCTTTTCTTTTCTTTTCTTTTCTTTTTCTCTCCTTTTTCTCTAGGATCGATCATGTCGCTGCTTTCGTTAAAACCTTTATACTTACTTCATGTATAATCTTTTGTTACTTACTATATATGTAATGTGTTACAGTCACCCATATACTACTTAATTAACGCTCTTCCATTATTTCTCCTTAAACTCAACTCCTTCATCCCATACACGACAAAATCTTTTTAAGTTTTAACAACTCTCACTTTTCAAGAGTTGAGTTAAACTCTTATCTCAATGTTGCCAATACAATTTTATTTTATCATAATTTTGGATATTCATTAATAGGACTTTCGTATAAGCTAGAGTATTTTTTCTCTGTTATTTACAAGTAGTTATGATTCACTATGGGGGTAACTACGACAAAGATTTTAAGGAAAAATGACAATTCCAATCAGGAAGTACCTGTATGATATATTCATTGGCTTATCCTATATATAAATTATATTAAAATAATTATATTCAATTCATTTTTAACACTAATTATTCAACAAAACATGTTTAATGATTTTAGTATTTTTTAAAGAATTTTCTTACAGTTTCTATTTATTTTATTTTATTTTATTAAATTCCAACACTTTTTTAGAAAATATCAATTAATGATTAAAAATAACATTATATCATAATAATATAAAATATTTATTATAAATCTAAAATATAATTTATATGATGAAAAATATTTTATTTTACAAATTTTAATTAAATAAAATAAAAGAATTATATCATTGCAGAGGTTGATTAACGAAGCCAGAGTTGGCATGTTTGTAGGAGGGCTTTAACTGGAGGCATTTGGTGAATCGATGGCCATATGATTTGCAAATAGGACCCATGCAGTGGGAGTGGAACATATGGGTTCTTTCTTTTTGTTCCTCATGAGTGTTTGACTCTCTTGCACCTTATCATATTCAATTTGATATTACTTTTATATATATATATATATATATATTGTTCATTTATTTTATGACAGTTAAGTTTACTACATTAATGTGTATAATTACTTATATATTTTACTACATGAAATACTATATCTTGCATTCGACAAGTAAGCATAGTACGGTATTATTCGAATTCATAAGAAAATTGTAAAAATTTATGTTGTGAACTTAACTAAATAAAAATAAAATATAGTAGTATTTCATAATATTTTAACTTTTTTTTAATCTATCATGATTATAATAATAACAATTCAAATTTAAGAGCATGTGTATACTATTATAATATACTAATTATACTATTTCCATCTTCAAATATGTATTTTTTAAAAGATTAATTCGCACCTATTAAAAAAATTGACTCTCTGTTTTTATTTTATTAAAATCGAATTCATAGATTTGTAATAACTCACATACTCTACTTAATTAATTAAGGGGACTTCTTTCGGGATTTCTGTTCATAATATTAAATTTATTAACAAATTATATATTTTGAAAATTACTCTTAAAATTGTGTGTTAATTATTTTTTTAAAATCCCTAAAGTAATGAAAATGAATTGATTTTATTAATTTATAATATTTATTAGTTATAAAGTAATTAAGAGAGATAATTTATAAAAATGTGTTACAGAAAAAGAGAAAAACAACTTTAAAAAACATATAGAGGGAAAGAAATAGTAATAAAATAATATAATGCAAAGGAAGTATGTATTAAAAAAAAATAGAGAAGCAGCCATTTAAAATTTTAATTTTGGCCTTTTGACTTAGGTAATTCGGCGCCTGCCTGGTTGTACCCTTTATGAATCTTCCGTACCGATAGGGTGCGGTGCACCTGCATCAAACATGGTAATGTTGTCTCTTCATGGGGTCCAATCCATTGTTGTAGATCCTCAGTATCAGTAATTTGTGATGGCCCAATTGGCCTCTTTTCTGAAGTAGCTAGCTACACATATATTGCCGTTTTCTTTTAATTTAATACTACTAAACTCGACATCATGCATGTAGCCTTAATTTCTTTGAAATTTGACAACTGATTCTGCATGTTAGATCAATTCAATTTATTATTTTTACAGGTACATTGATTGTGTAAGTAACTACTCAACTAATTACTCGATATATTCTTATGCCAAGTGTTTATGGAGAATCTTGAAATGGTGGTGGCAATGGACTCTTTCTCTTCATCCCGCATGATTCCAACCAATATATAAGTAACACACTTTGCCTTTATATATACTCCCACTCACCACATCATTTTTAAAAGGTTAAATTAAGTGGACCCGCATTAGAAGAAGAAAAACTTTCCTTCTTAAGCTCTTTTGTTTCAATTTTCTCAACCTCCCTTTTAATTTTTGTTCCCCGCTTTAAAATGCTTATAATTAGCCTTCTATAATAATTGTTTGCAGGTATTCTTTTTTGACAACATGTTGCTGCAAAATTGATAAATAATGTCAAATTTATGATTCAGCAAGTGCAGGTATGGTCAAAATCAGCTTTTGCGAAGGTGCAAAGTCTATTGACTTGGCATAACCGCATCTCATTAAAAAAAGGGCAAGATAAAAGGAGCAATGATTTTACGATGCTGCCTGAGCTTCTTGGTCGTCCACATACATATCTAATTACATGCATAGAATATATCTGCTAAGTAAAAAAAAGTATAGTATCTGTTCTTGTATATTAAATTCATTGTATGAAAGTGATTCATTTGCTATAGATATAAGGTTAAGGTTCCTTTTGCATGACATTTGTAAGTGTATATCATCGATGTAAACAAAGCGAGAGTGTGTATATCAGGTAACATATGAGAGCGTGAGAAGACTGAATAGAGATATATTAAGCTTCACCAAAATACTTTTAGGAGAGAGAAATAAAAATAATTTTTTATAAACAAAAATTAACTTATACATAAATTAAAAATAAGATGTTAGAAAAATAAGCTATTTGGAGAAATATTTTATAAATTAGTTTATGTTAACTTACTAAAAAAAATTATTTTATTTTGTTATATATTTTTTTCACATGAAAATACTTTTAGAAAAATTTACCCGAAGACTTTATTATACCACTAATACCCCACAGCGGGAGCTTATTGTACTTGGGGGCAGCTTATTGATTACAATACATTTTTAGTGGTACATTGATATCCTTAAAGATTCATATTTATTCAAATATTTAGTGGTGAATCAATTAATGTGTGAAATGTCTGTATATTTTCCTTTTGGGTTTTTCCTATTAGATAACACAGATCTTATAGGCGTAAACAACATAATATATATTTGGACATGAGTTTGAAATTATATTCAAGACAAAAAAAATATAAATTTTAAAGCAGAAATAGTAAAAAAAAAAAAAAAAAAGTCTATGGTCGAAACATGAGCAGAACATTAATTGACACTGTATTCCATATTATGTGTGTTAAATGGCATTGATATATATATTTTAATTAATTATTACACTACTCAATAATTTTATATTAAAAATAAATTTTATCAATTTAATTGTTGAATTATAATTTTATATTATTATATATGTTTGTGTCAAATTTTGTAAAAAATAAACAATCAGAAAGTAATTAAATTATTTATATTTTAGTATATTTTGAAATATATATTATATGTAATTTAATTTATATGAATAATATATCAATTCATTTTGAATTAATGTAAAATTATATACATGATCTAGGAGTACAAAACTATCCATCCAATAGTGAGTTTTGAAAAAAAAATATATTTTACATATAAATTTTTTAAAACTTATTATTAGGTTGGAAGTTTGTTACTTCTAAATTATATATACAAAATTTTATATTAGTTTAAAATAATTTGATACCTTATTCTTATAGGAAAAAATTGGCATAATATATATATTTTAAAATATAAATAATTTGATTACTTTTAATTTTTTATTTAATTTTAACAAAATTTAACATAAACATACAACATATATAGTTATATGATTTAATGGTTGAATCAACAAAATTCACATTTATTATAAAAGTTATAAAGTGGTATAATATATAGATGGTAAAATTTACACTAATGTCATTTAATTTCTTCAATATATATATATATATATATATATATATATATGAGGAGAT